GGAGTCACCCCCACCGCCTCACCCCTCTTTACACTTTTCCTTGTTCCCCCTGCTTTACAAATTGACACAATATGATAAGAGATTGCAGCCGCCCTGTCAGCCTGGTGCTCATTGATAAAACCATATCTAATCCATCTTCAGCACCCCTCTGTCACCAAAGCACTCATCTTTGAGACAGTCAATGCACACAGGAGCTGTCTGGTTCTGAACCGAGCAGAACAGAGTCAGAGTTTATCGGACTCAAACTCGTGGAAGAGGAAAATGGAGCCTCGTGAGCAAAATGACTTTGTCCTGAGATGACGCCGAAACGTTTATGCAACAATTCAGTAGCATCAGAGACAAAAAAATAAATAAAAAAATAAAATAAAATACCTGTGTGCATTAACCTTGAGTGCATGCAATTTATTAAAAATTCAGAAAGGCATAATAAAAAATAAAAACATTGTATTTCCTGAAGTCTTGTACAAGCGGAAAATAACAGGATAATACTGCAATGTTCTAATGAAACGCAAAAAAAAATAATTTAAAAACACAATAATTAAATCACCTTGTAAGACTTCCACACTATACTTCCTAAATATGATCTTGTTTTTCTGCTTTAACACTTTTAACAATAATAATCTATAATAAAAAATAAACTTCTGATAATAATATTAGGGCAGCTGTGGCTGAGTGGTTAGAGCAGTCGTCCTCCAATGCAAGAGCTGGGGGTTCGAATCCACCAGCGGTCACATGCCCAAGTGTCCCCGGGCAAGACACTGAACCCCTCATTGTCTCTGATGTGTGTCCCATCAGTGTATGAATGTGATAAAGCTCTGATTAGTCTCTTTTGAATGATTTGTTCAATTAGCTTTGTATAGATCTAGTAGAGTGCTGTATGAATGGGTAAATGAGGACACAGACTGTAGTGTAAAGCGCTTTGAGTGTCTTGATTAGATAGAAAGGTGCTATATAAGTACAGTCCATTTACCATTTAATCTGTTCAAGCTGTGCCAATGTTATTGAAAAGTTGGTGGATTCAAGGGGGATTTGGGGTAAAAAAAAAATAGATTTTCCAACATGAGCACATATAATCTGATGATAACTTTGAGCAGAAATACCTGTAAGTGTAAAAATGTATCACCTTTTTTTTGTGTGTGGATTTTATCAAGGCAGCACGGTGGCGCAACTGGTAGAGCTGCTGCCTCTCAGCGAGCAGGTCCTTGGTTCAAACCCCGGTCCAGGGGCCTTTCTGGGTGGAGTTTGCATGTTCTCTCCGTGCATGCGTGGGTTTTCTCCGGGTACTCCGGTTTCCTCCCACAGTCCAAAAACATGCATGTTAGGCTGATTGGTAACTCTAAATTGTCCCTAGGTGTGAGTGAGAGAGTGAACGGTTGTTTGTCTCGTTTGTCTCTATGTGGCCCTGTGATGGACTTGCGACCCGTCCAGGGTGTACCCCGCCCCTCGCACAGTGATTGCTGGACATGGGCACCAGTGACCCCCGTGACCCAAAATGGAATAAGCGGGTAAAGAAAATGGATGGATGGATGGATTTTATCAAAAGAAAACTGCTTTACTTAAATAGTATTGCAAATCAGTGTGATAAAGACCCACTATAATAACATTTGTTAAAATTATCTATAGTTATTCTACTGTTATTGCATGAGGGGTGTGGTGGAAAAGAGGTTAGAGCAGGCAAGCCTGTGATTGGAAGGTTGCTGGTTTGAACCCTGGACCAACAACATCAAAATGTAAGGGGAAACGTAAAGCATCCACACCTGCCTCCATCCTCATTTGCCCAACTCTGGGCCCTTGAGCAAGGCCCTTAACTCCCACCATGTGCTCCCCTGGGCACCCTAGATGGCAGCTCTGTGCTCCACACAGAGGGCTGCGGTAGCTCGGTGGTCTGTGGTTGCATCAGGAACGACATCCTGTATAAAACAATTGCAAAGTCTCTGTGCGACTTAGATCGCTGTGGTGACTCCTGAGGAAGGGAGCAGCCGAAATAAAAAATATAAAAACTCTAATGTTATTAAATAGATACATTACATATGAGTGACAGGACACTAGTGGCTTTGTTTAAAATGTTAGCATTGGCTTTTGAGTGTGGACCCCCTCCTGCCTCCACAGAATCTGGTGAAATATAAAATTACTCCCTTCACTTGCCTGAATCCTTCACTCTGCGCCACCACGGACAAGAAAAAAAGAAAAAAACTACCTCTAACTGTTCTGCACCAAAACATTGTTTACGTCTGTTCTCTGTTCAATTCCAGTCAAGAAAAACAGTCATCACAAAAACTACACACATTCACTATTCAAATCCTTATGCTTGTTAAATCTGTCAACTTTTAGCATAAGATAAGATAAAATAAAATAGAACTTTGTTGATCCCGTAGGAAATTGTTGTATGTTATTGTATGTACAGTAGTTCCTCGATACTTCGCGGTTCGACTTTCGCGAACTCGCTCTTTTGCGGTTTTTCAAAGTAAGAATGGACATGACACAAAGTTAGCTGATTGATGGATGAGCCACATGATCGGCATGGATTTTTATTTAATTAATACTACTAATAATAATACTAATACTATATACATAATCTACGACTTACTACTTGTACTACTTTTCTTACATTGCGGTTTTTCACTTAACGCAGGGGCGCCGATAACGGAAACCCCCGCCATAAACGAGCGACTACCGTATTGTTATTTAATTGTAGTTCTAACAAACACATAGTTATTGTGCATATTATTTTTTACCTTTTCAGGTTTTAGCAAACATTTAAAGTCTGTCAAACTGATGTTAGTAATTACCTGGGTTTTAAAGCCCCCTAGTGAGCCTGTACTAGGCTGTTTATTTCACCAAAAGTCAGTAAATTTTGTAGCTTGTTGAAAACATTTGTCTCAAAACAGCCAATATTTTAAAAAGAGTAATGAGTGGTGCATTTCTGATACCCAAGGCATGGCAGTGTGTGTGTTTCACTACCAGAAACATGTTCAGACAGTTGGTTTTGTCTTTTTTTTTTACTTGGATAAAAAGTTTAAGGAAATTTCACCTCTTGGCTATCGTACACAGCTGACGGACAGCTCATAGCAACAGGCGATGGAGTGTGTACTGGATAACTGGAGAAAACTTCACAACTTTTTAGTTTCCCATCAAAAAGTATTTGAACCTGGGGATGGTAAGACTGGAAATACAGTGGTTCTGATACTGTGAATTTTATAAACTGGTGTATTGAAACTAGCCTACGACATTCCTAAAAATATACTCCAGTGTCGCAGTAAATCTGCTGTGATTTCAATGTAGCAACTTGTAAAAGTACACACGCATTTGTGCAATGGGAACTAACCTGTATAATTAAAGATTGAAAGAATGACATACTTTAATGAATATATTCTTTTTTAAATTTAATGTACTCAAACAAACATTCCACTGTGAAATTAGCTCATAAGAGCAAAACATTAGGTGATGTTACTAAGTATAAAATGTTCATGTCTAATATTATAAATGAAATGATGAGCAACTGCTTCTGGAAGTGACTAACTGCTGTCACCTTTGTGAGTGCATTAGGAACAGCAGGCACACGAGTGGTTTGATCTTTCCATGCATACTTTTTATGTGTTTATACTCAAGCCTCTTATAGAGTGTGTGTTCGAAAAAAAAAAATGTGGCAGGTTGTGTTAAAAAGAACAAAGAAGAATGTTCTTGCTCTGACTTTCTACATGCAAAAGCATAAAAAAAATTTCAAACAGGGCAAACCTTGTGGAGTAACTGAACAGAGGGCCATCACCAGAATGTCACACGTTTTGTCTAATGTCTAACAAAGACCTTCACACTCACAGTGACACCCCAGCCCTGGAAATGCCAGCCCAGCTGCTGGGGTCGTACTGCATGTGGGTGTATGCAAAGCAATCAGTTTTCCCTGTCCTGTGAATTTCTCTTGAAAAAAAAAGGCAAACAAAATGCTTTTTTGACAGGTAACTCCGAGGCATATTGAAAGCAATCCTGGCAATTACACACACACACACATACACATGCACAGACCACAGAAGGAGGAAAAGCCTGCACAGAACTGAGCCTCTGTCCTGTCTACATAAAGTGATGCAAGGTTACCTGGAAAAAAAAAAAATCAGATTCACAGGGACTAGAATATCCATCTAGAGAGGGGACAGGGCGGGGGCACTCAGAATAGCTCTGTTCATTTTCTGGTGAAGCGAAATCATTTCAGTGGTATCACTGCTGCTGATGAAAAAAAGGCTTTGGAGCTCCACTACCAGGAGGAGGGGGGAAAAAAAAAACTTATTTTTTGCCCCCCACAGTACTTTCTTTGAACAACGATTAAAAAGAAAAGCACTGTATATGAACGAGGAAGAAGTTGTGCACGCTTGTGTTCAATGATGCTTTTTACTGCGAAACATCGCTGGGCAGTAAGCCATGCAGTGACAGCTGCCGAGTGAATCATTTAAAGAAACCTCAGCAACAAAGTTCCAACCTCGAGGGATGAATTTGCCTCGCTTTAAAACTCAACAGCATTTGCAAAAATCTGCCCGACGAAATTTATTTACTGTAAAAAATGTTAATGTGCACTAATTAGGCCTAATTATTTGTGTCTAAAATGAATGAAACATTTTTTTTTCCATTTACTGTTAAAATAAACAAAAATAGCAAATTATTTTTTCATTTATTAGTTTTGTTTGCCCAGTCAATCCTATTGGTTCACGTACTAAACAACAAAAATGTTATCCAATCCAGTTTTACGACAGTTTTACCACAGTTTTACATAGATTGCATTTATAAATTTAGTGTTTGTTTATACTTGTTTAACAGAAAATGGCTGCTTGCTTGTGCACGGCTGTGTTGTTACAATTACAATCACAGCTGTAAGTGCAAATAATTTGACTTTCTGAAAACACAGATGGCCACTTCTAAATTATGTTATCAGCCGCAAAAAATCACTAAAAGCTGTGGAAAGCACAAAATAAACCATTTTCCTTGTTTCTGAGTAATGCAAAAAAATTACTCACTACATTCTGGGTCTGAGTTCCCGTCTCCCTCTGTGCGGCTGTTTGGTGATGTTTGTTCGTAGTACTCCTCCTGGGGGAAGCTGAGGGGGAGAGGCTGGGTGGTACTGGCAACGCTGCTGGGCTCCGGGTCCCCCAGCCCGCTGTCACTACAACTCTCCTGAGAACCATCTGGAAGATGGAAGGTCACGCGGCGCTGAGTCTGTAACGAATAAATCGACAACAAATGTCTTATAATAAACCCTTCTCTCCTGTGTAATTATGGCTTCAATGTAAAACGAAAATAGTAAAAATCTCAGGAAAATCAAAGGATAGACGGAGAAAACCAGAGGATGTATTAAAAGTAAATAGTTCTAGAAAATAAAAAAAAAACATAGTAAAAAATTTAATTCTAAGTTACAAGTCAGACACTTTTACTCAACTCTAAGTTTGGTTTTGTTTTAAAGAGTATTACGAGCCGTACTTTAAGGACTTTCTCTCCGGCCAAATCCCATTTTCTATTGTTATTCCCACCCCTAAATTCCAGCTATCCATACATTATCTTTACTTGCTTCTTCCTTTTCAGGTCATGGGGGTCATTGGTGCCCATATACAGCGGTCACTGTGCGAGAGGCAGGGGACACCCTGGACAGGTCTCCAGTCCATCACAGGGACTCATAGAGACAAATGAAACAAACAACCATTCGCTCTCTCACTCTCACCTAGGGAAAATTTACTAATCAGTCTAACATGTATGTTTTTAGTCTGTGGGAGGAAACGAGTGTACCCAAAGAAAACCCATGCATGCACGGAGAAAACATGCAAACTCCACCCAGAAAGGTCCCCAGCCGGAATTTGACCCGGTAACCTCGCTGAGAGGCAACAGCTCTACCAACTGAACCACCGTGCCACCGGTCCCTAAATTGAAATCACAAAGTGTGGCTGTTAAACTATTACTTTATGACCTGAAATGCCCCTTTAAGAAGTACATTGATGGTTCCCAATTTGCAGAACAACTGCCACTGATGGTACTCAAGAGTCTTTTAGTTGTATTTAGGAAAACGTTGGTATAAATAATTTGCAAATAAGTTAAATAACCATCATAACCTGAACTGGAATGGAAATCTAAAATTTAGAGATATATTTAAAAAAATGAGGGGTTTAAGCAAATTACACTTTTAGCACCAAAAGGAAACTAATCAAAACAAAACTACATTAGGGAACTCCTGTGGAATTTGGAATGAACGATTGTTAACCCATGTGCTAGTAGCTGCTGTACTTCAACAGCAATAGTTAGGTCTCCTTAGGACCTGCTAGCAACACAAAGTAGAAATAAGCAAGAACATTTGATTTTAATGATATTGTGTTTTTAGCTGGGACTGCAAGGTATGTGATGCTGTTTTCTGCAACAAATGCTTGGAACCATCAGGACTGAAATCACACTCTTCAGGCTTCAAACAGGGTTTTAACAGTTTGCTCATACATATACCCCTGTACAACTGTTTTTAATGTCTACTGCAATAAGCTGTATTTGGAAGATATGAGTATTTTTTAGGTTGGACTTTTTATGAAACATATTCATAACCACCATAAACCATAAGTTATCACCATTTAAAAAAAAATGTAAATAGAGGCAATGCCATACCACCACACATGGCAGGTAAAACACTATCAAGCGTGCAATTGACTTTGAATATACTGTTACATTATTTTTATGCTTGTTAAGGAAAAGCCAACACTAATACCAAGCGTTAAGTCTAAATTCTCATTAAGCTAAACAAGACAATAGAGGATGTAAAAAGCAAAACATTCTTAATGGAGTTAATATGTTGATTTCTTTCTTCTTTTTTTATAACAGCTGTTACTCCCTTTTTAATTGTGTCCCCAGTAAATCTCGCTTTTTAGTGGCATAGAAAGCTCTGCCCCTACCAATTTGCTTTGCATTGCAAAAAGGATCAGGACATCCTGCCTCTAGAGTGAATGTACAAAAAGTAGAGATACAGTTAAAAAAATATATGAGGAAGGAACAAAATTAGATTTGGCATTTGTGTGGTGTTCAAAAGTGGCAGTGTTCCAGCTGTAAGATTTTTTTATTATTCTTTCTGAGAGATTATTGAAGATTTATTTTTTTTGCCCATAGCTGCATGTATTATATTAGATTTATCTGTAAAATTAAATATATTCTTCCTCCACCCTGTAAATGTGATTTAATGAGATTTCAGTGGTGGTAATGAATGAAAGGAATAAACAAAAAATAATAATTAAAAAACTAAGAGCAATGTTTCATTTCCAGTAAAGGTGTTACTTTGAAAAATATATTGAATACAATAAGTGCTTTTCATGAGGACTTTTTTCTATGAGCGGAGGGCTTCCATATCAATGAAAACCTAACAAAAAAAAAATCCTCCTCTGGCAAGATTCACTGTTCAATATTTTAAAATATAATAAATGAAAGGTTTGAGATCCACAGTCAAAACTCTGCTCACCTTCAACGCATTAAAGAAAGAAAATACATCTCCAAGGTGGCTTATCTCCAAATACTGGCACATAATAACACAAACATCTACATTTTAAAAACAACTAATAACAATAGACAAAAAACAAATTGTAAGCAATGAATAAAAATCTATCTTTTTTGTGGTGAGTGATAGTTTCTTTGTGTCTGTCTCAGTAAAATAACCATTAAATTTTTTTTAACAAATCCAGCATAGTTATCACATCCCAATGTGACCCTTGACCTCAGTTATAGCTTCAGTGATTTAGCTTTTATTCTTTACAAATCACTGAGTCATTATTGGTCACCAGAGAGAAAAAACACAACCTCAAAAGTTAGCTTTTTTCCGACTATGTGAAGCATATCATTTGTTTAAATTTAAAGTCTCCAGCCCTACTCATCCCTCTGTTCATACAGAGACGTTCCTGGCACATCTACGCCTGACAAACAAAGATGATTACCATCAATGTGAATTGTGACAGCAGTGCTTATTCACGGGTGAATGAGTGCAGTCAGATGGCATTTACAAGGGAAGCCCTTGCCCGAACGTATTCACAGTTGCTTGTTTAACACAGCATCCATCATCTTTACCTGCTTTTAATACAGAAATATGACCAAACTTTATCTCATCATTACAGGGACTAATTAAGAGTGTGACCTCGTAACCCAAAACTGTTTCTGGTCTGTTGAGTCTATTGAATTACTTTCCAGTTAATAAAGCAACTGCAAGACCTATAATTGAGAACCTCCGTGATACACACCCTGAGAATAGATGGGATGTGTAATAACATGTTGAACTATGTGCTAATTTTTCTGCTGGTCTAATTTCAGTACTACAAAAAAAAAAAAGATAACATGCAAAAGCTGAAACTTTTATTTGTATGAGGTTGTATTCGGGATCACAGGAGTGTATATTTATTTCTGTACATTATCAGTTTATTTCATGCTGGCTTTTGACAAAGTCCCACGAGAGGTTGTTTATTGGATCCTCAGACAGGAAGGCATTACGGAGAAGCTAGTTCGGATTGTTAGTTCCATGTACAAATGTGTTAAAACAACAGTCAAAACTGACAAAGGCAACACAATAGCATTTGAGATTAAAGTTGGTGTTCATCAGGGTTCATGTCTCAGCCCACTGTTGTTTATTGTTGTGACGGACGGAGTTACTGAGGTTATTAGGAGAGAAGTGTCATGGAATGTGTTGTATGCTGATGACGTAGTTGTGGCTGGAGATTCTGAAGTTAATCTCTAAAATAGTTTCAGATGGTGGCAGCAGGCACTTGAGAATAAAGGTCTGAAAATAAACACAGCAAAAACAGAGACCATGGTCTGCTTGAAAGCTAGCAAGACCTTAAGAATTATTGATAATAGAAACAATAATTGGATGTTCAAACATCCTGGGTCAGTGATAAATGCCAAAGGAATCTGTGAAAAAGACGTTAAATGTGGAATTGGTGTGGCGTGGCAAAAATGGAAGGAGTTGACAGGAGTCGTTTTTGACCCAAGGATGTCGATTCATATTAAAGGGAACGTGTACAATAAGATGGTGCACCCAATCTTGCTTTGTGGAACTGAGGTATGGACATTCAAGAGAAAGGAATAGGAACTCATGGAAAGAACAGAGATGCTACGTGGGATTCTTGGAATATCCCTCAATGATAGACGGTGAAATTATGATATCAGAAAAAAACTCTTGGCATGGCATGCATCATGGATAAGAAACATGAATCAAGAATGAGGTGGTATGGGCATGAGCAGTGAATGGAAGATAGTTAAAAACAAGTTAAAAAGGCTATTAAATGCAGAAGTTTTCGGTCAACAAAGCAGGGATCGGCAGAAAAAAAGGTGGCTGGTTATGATCCAGCAGGATATGAAGACCCTCCATCTTACAACAGACGATACACGAAACAGAGCAAAATGAAAAAGAAGAATGCATGTGGCTGGCCCTGTTCTGAAATGAGCGGGACCTACAGCCTGAAGGAGAGGGAGAGTATCAGCCTATTTGATAATTCCTGAGGTTTACAGAAGTTCATGTTGCGACCTTTCTTTTGGAACTACAAAAGAAAAACAGGTTCTGTATGTGGTGGCATCTGGGAGCATGTGGGCAATCCATACACATAGCAAAACCACACTGTTAGTCATTCACATTGTGCAACACAAGCAGATGTGCCACTGATGTGATGTTTTTCATTTTTGTATTGGACACGGAAAAATGAGACATTAGGAAATCTGACGTGGCTTTGAGGTAGACCTGGTAAAATACTCCTGTCGCAGTTATACGGGCTGCAGCTCAAATTTACGTCTGTACATGATTCCTGTACAATGTATCCCACCATACAGAAGCATAAAACGCATAAAATATTATCACACCCTCAGCTTTGTTTATTACAGTGAATTTTATTCAATCCATTATTCAAAGTGATAAGAGGTTTTTTTTTTTATATATATTTTTAAGCAAACACAACTGGTGCACAAATGACCACCTTAATTTTCATCATCGCTATAGCAACAAAAGCAAAATGCAGGTCCTGAATTAAAAACATCATTAACGCATGCTTCTTTGAGCTCAGGAGGAGGTGATGTCAGTGCTCTAACAGATTTTTCCTCAGCCACTACAGTGCATAGATAATACATATATTGTTCTTTGAGAAGGACAAAATAAGTTGGAAAAATTAAAGAAATAGGAATACAAAAATGAAATAAACTATTTTTCCAATGAAGGACAAACTGCCAAATCATCAAGTGCACAAAGAGTTTTATTTAAAAACTATCAGGAAGGGATGACTAACCTAAATCCACACAATTAACACCCTGAGAGCTCAACCAAGTGGCTTTCAGAACCATGATGATAAAACAGCCAGCTAAATATTCTATTTATTTGATTCATCAAGATCCTGAGACTATAAATCCCTTTTTGTGTTAATTTGTAAGTGCTGGTAAGAAAGTGGCAAATAACAAAATAGAAAAAGGGAAAATGAATCAGGAAAAAAAAAAGTACACGATCACAACGAAACACAACCTTTCTGTGGTTATATTGAGTTTATAGGAATAAATCTGTTTTTTTTTTTATGTCTTGCATTAAATACTTAATAAAAAAAAAAGCCTATCCCCTTATTTTTATTTTATTTTATATCTGCTTTTATTTATTTCACTTTGGCAAAAAAGGAGCCAGGGACATTTCTGGCAAAACAATTCAGCTCCATGTGCCATGTTTGCACACACTTTTAAGTCATCTGAATATCTACTTGTTCTCAAACAAAGTTGGCAGCTATTTCTCGAATTACCAGAGTGCCCCTGCGAAAGCAATGCCCAGGTTCCAGCATGGGGAGAAAGGGCCCACTTACACAGGGTTGGCAGCTCAACAAAAAGCAAGACTCCTTTCCACACAATAATAAGTATGTATTCCTCTATAAATATATATATATACATATATATACAACTTACTTCAACAATGATATCTAGATTATGTTTGAATAAACAGCTGCACGTGACAGTTAAATGGCAATTAAATGGACTGCACTTATATAGCACCTTTCTATCTTATCCACATACTCAAAGCTCTTTACACCACAATCTGTGCCCCCATTTACTCATTCATACAGCACTTTACTATATCTCTACAAAGCTAATCTGAATCTGTAGAGATTAATCAGTGCTTCATTACATTCAAGCACCGATGAGACACACGTCAGAGGCAATGAGGGGTTCAGTGTCTTGCCCAGGGACACTTAGGCATGTGACTGCTGGTGGAATCACACCTCCAACTCTCGCATTGGAGGACGACTGCTCCAACCACTCAGCCACAGCCGCCCAATTAGGGCACAATCATTTTGCTGAATGAAGTGCCTTCATTTTTAAACTCCTGTTTATTCAAAGTCATGCCAGATGTTTTTTTTTTTTTTTTAAAAGCTTAATTTAAGTCATTTAGATCTGTAATGTTGGGATTAAGCACCATCATTGGCTGTTGAATAAATAAAACGTTGCGTCTCGGTGGTAATGACAGATGCAAATGAAACATTAAAACATGACAGAGATTAACAAACATGCAGGAGTCAAGGTGAGTGTTTTGTCAGGTGCAATCACTTATTTAAAGAAGCCGCCAGAAATCCATAAAGCAAAGACAAGCTGCCATAAGAGATATCAAGACCAAACAAAGGCCTTTCTGTCTGAAAAAACACCACTTTTGGAAGTATGTACACAAAGGCAAAATAAACAGGAGAAATAGATGCCAAGTGCTACCACTAAAAAGCCAGAATATCCATCCCTTATCATCTCTGGTAACCACGTAGATTGAACAGAACTCACAGGTTACTAGATTAAGAGTCTTTTACGCTGAGGCCGAGGATGGAAGGCTAAGTGGCTGCTACCTTGTCCTTTGCTACACCACAGCTCTTTGAGTTTTATTGTCCCACGTACTTTACCTTGACTATCATTCTCTCAAAACAGCAGAGAAGTCGGCGCTGCAGAGAAAAAGACCCGGCTGACAACCACCTCACTGTGAGTGATAAACAGGGACCACTTAGAAGTGAATCAGGGGAGATTGGCTCTGCCATTTCAGATAAGGATCAGCTCGCGGGCACACCTAGACCTGCATAAATCTGCTCTGAGGAGATGGTGATTTGTTATAGCACACATGTCTTAGTGTGGAGAGAGGAAAAACAGTCAAATGGCAATGCCTCGATTGAAAATGCTGTGCTCCACATGCCATTTTTGTATGATGTCAAGATTATGCAACATCTACAAAAATCTCTGAGCTATTTTTTTTTCTTCTTTTTTTTTAAGGAGGGATGTTTTTATTTCTTGCTACATGTTCCATTGTAGCCTATGATGTGCTAGGTGATGTGCGTTTGCTTGGGAGCTGAGGAGTTAGCAGGAACACAAGTGAAGGAGGTGATTCTTGCAAGTGTGCTGAGACATTACTGTGACAAATCTAATGAATTTTCATAATTTCGATCTGTTGTTGACTCATCTGGGATGATGATTCTCTTAAGATCCACAAAAGGAGTTCTGGTCTCAGTACAAACAAGAGCTTTGCACAGAAATGTCATAAAACTCTTGAAAATAGTATATAGTCATAAGCTCCAAGCTTCAAAAGAACCAGTCAATAGTAATAATAATACTATGATATGAATTCAGAGCTTATCAAAAAAAAAAAAAAAAAGTATATCAGAGGGTTGGAACTATGTGCTCCAAAGTAAAAGAAGAAAAAACGGAAATCAGAAAAGCTGAGCAAACAAACTATTCAGCAAAAATGTGCTGACCCTGTATAAAAGTTGGAGCAGCATGTCAGTGTGTGCTCTGCGGGGAAGGGAGAACTTTTGTTGTTTTGTTGCCAGACTGACAAATGATTGTTGAACTATGAATATGGATACAAATGAAAAACATAAATAAATTAAAAAAACAGGTGAAAAGGAACAAAAGAGGGTGATAGTCAGATGTCACAACAAAACAGGATTTAATGGTTCTCTAAGTGAGAAACATTAAAGCATTTACCAAATAGGCAATTTGAGCTTCAACACATTTTTTTTGTTAAATTCAGTATTGCTTTACACTGCTCCTACTTTTGGGCAAAATACATGATGAGGAAAAGCTGTGGTGTTGATATGCTGTTTATAATGATGCATTTTAACATTCCTATACTCCATGAATGCATTTATTCAAAAATTAGCCACATTTTATTGACCCTACATATGTAAGGCTGTATGTAAACACACACACTTGCTCTAATTCAGTTCAGGTCTAACAGTTGCATTTTGAAACACACAAATATTAACATTTATTGTAATTAAAAAGTTAAATTGTATAAAGCTAAATTAGTCACAAAATATAATATGTAAGTTATGAGTCGTATAAGATTTGCTGTGGTTTCTTCAACAAACACTAAACACATTGTTTCTCTTGTCTTAGTCAATATGTGCAGGACTTGAAAATGAATTAGTGTAAAATTTGAGAAACAGATTCATCATATCAAATCTTTTTTTTTTTTCTTTTAAGTATTAACATCAAGGAAACCATTTGTCAAAAAGTTTTAAATTGAGTTTTGTGTAAAGTTATAAAATAAATAATATTGCATCTGTTATATATGGCACTTTAGATAACCTCAGGTTGGAGAAATGGAGTTTAATTCTGGCTGGATTTACAAAGTATAAGCTAATGTCTGAGTCTGAGTGGGTCTCAGACCAGAGTAGATTGCTGTCTTGAAACAACTCCAATAAAATAAAATCATAATGGTTCATACTAATCCAGTTTTATAAATCTTTACACTGCTGTTAATTTATGTATCACACAGCTTACCTGGCAGACATACTATGATACGCCTATAGGTTGTACCTAAAGTGCTGCAGCTAGCTGCTTCTGCTAAATGCACTTGCAAATTATCTTGAATGATATATAAATTAATATGCGTTGCACAAAATATCTTCTTCTTTCAGCTTTTTCCTCTTCAGGGGTCATCACAGCGAGTCAGCCTCCTCCATCTCACTCTGTCCTCTTCATCCTCTGTCCTCACTCCAACTACCTCCATGTCCTCTCTAACTGCATCCATATAGCTCCTCTTTGTCTTTTTCTTGGCAGCTGCATTTCTAACATCCTTCTGCCAATATACCCACTGTCCCTCCTCTGGACATGTCCAAACCATCTCAGTCCGGCCACTCTAATTTTATCTCCCAGTTGTTCAACCTGTGCTGAACCTCTGATGAGCAACTGTTCAATGTTCAACCTGTGTCAATGTAAAGAAAAAAAAAAAAAACTGCATTTGAATGAATTTCAAGGAAATATTTTGGAGAATGAAGTTGTTCTACGGTATTTATAAATCTTGTTGGTCTTAGCCCTGCTTTTACTGGACGTTTGGGGATTAAAGTGGTCAGAATTAAACATTAATACTCCAAACTGAGGCCCATTAAAGAGCTATCTACAGTTTATTAATTTTATTGTTTATAGATTCTTAAAGAAAAAAAAAAACATTTCAAAAGATCTGACTGATCATTCTAATCAGCATCGTAACCGTAAATTGCTCATTTTTATTTTTTACTTTTTTACCACAATGTTCAACACTGGGGGCAGCACGGTGGCACAACTGGTAGAGCTGCTGCCTCTCAGTGAGCAGGTCCCCGGTTCAAATCCCGGTCCGGGTGACTTTCTGAGTGAAGATTGCATGTTCTCTCCATGCATGGGTGGGTTTTCTCCAGGTACTCCGGTTTCCTCCCACAGACCAAAACATGCATGTTAGGCTGATTGGTAACTTTAAATTGTCCCTAGGTGACTGTATGAATGGTTGTTTGTCTCCTTTGTCTCTATGTGTCCCTGTGATGGACTGGAGACCTGTCCAATGTGTCCCCCGCCTCACGCACAGTGACGGCTGGATATGGGCACCAGTGACCCCAGGCAACTCGAAAAGGAAGAAGTGGGTGAAGATAATGAATGGATGGTGCAGAGATGGTCACGATACTTACATTCACAGAGGTTATCTTGCCAAGTTGACATGCTTCCTGAAACGAAAAGAAAACAGACAATACAATGAGTATTGACAGTAACTTTTCAATTATTTACTATAAAAATAGATATTTGGATCAAAGAAAACTCTGCCAAGACATTTTCAGAGTCATCTCGAGTTCACCATTGACAGCCTAATAGATTTGTGTGTTTAAAGCCTTTTTTTAAGGTGGAATTGAGAATTAGGATACATATCGATTTTTTTACTCAGATACAGAGTTTGCACTGCGTACTTCTGTGCGCAGCTGGCTCATTGGCAAAATCGTCTGAAGAGTACAAAACCAAGAAATGTACAGAATAGGGCAAACCTGACATCCTGACAACACAAGACACACAACAACTGCATGCAACTGACAGTCTGATGAAGATGTATTCTCTGCGTTTCAGACAGGAAAGGGAACAGAATATCAAATGAAGCATCAAAAATGAACAATAAACAGCGACAAGCTTCTAAATTGGGAACAAAAGATACCCGCAAGCCTGCAAAATGGCATCATCTCTCTGGGGACGGAGATAACTCTCAGTGAGATAAGAGTATTTAATTTTTAATCAGCAATTTAGCTTTCTTTGTACTGTGTATGATAATCAGAATCTCTGACTTTATTTACAAGAAAACAGAAGCAATCTGGCAACGAAGAGACACTTACAGGTGCATCTCAAAAAATTGAATATTGTGGAAAAAAAATATTTTGTTTTGTCAATCAGTTCTAGGAAGTGAAACTCATGTACTACACAGATCCATTACACATAGCGTGAACTATTTCAAGCATTTATTTCTTGTAATTTTGATGATCATGGTTTGCGAATAATGACAAACAAAACTCATTGTCTCAGAAAATTAGAATATTGTGAAGAGATTCAATATTGGAAACTCCTGATGTCATATTCTCTATTCAGTTAATTAAATCCTAGACATGAGCTACAAATGTCACATTCCTCAAGTCGAGCCACTCCTGAACCAGAGACACTCAGACGCATCTCACCTGGGATGAGGAAAAAAAAGAACCGGACTGTTGCTCAGTGGTCCAATGTCCTCTTTTCAGATTAAAGTACACTTTCATGTCATTTGGAAATCAAGGTCCCAGAGTCTGGAGGAAACATGGAGAGGTCCAGAATCCATGTTTTTTGAAGTCCAGAGTAAAGTTTCCACAGTCAGTGATGGTTTGGTGCCATGTCCTCTGCTGGTGTTGGTCCACTGTGTTTTCTGAAGTTCACAGACTCAGCATCTACCAGGACATTTTAGAAACTTCATGTTTCATTCTACTGATGAGCTTTATGGATGTGCTGGTTTCATTTTCCAGCAGGACTCGGCTCCTGCCCACACTGACGAAGGTACCAAAAGTTGACTCTGTAATATTCTAATTTTCTGAGGCACTGAATTTTGGTTATTCATTATCTATAAGCCATAATCATTTTTTCATTCAACTTTTATTTATACAGGTTAGTCTCACTGAGTCCCGATGACTCATTTTCAAAAGAGACCTGTTTTAGACAAACCACAGATGAGGTACTGACAGCAAGAAACAGACATAAAATGCATATGAAATAAAAAGTAGATAAAAGTACCGTAGTGATAAAAACCAAAATAAAATTAAGTTGAATTATGAAACGAGGTAAAATGCTAAAAACAGGAACATGTCTGCATTGGTTTTTGCATTGAACTTAACAGTTTTTTTTTAAATCCCTTAGAGAGGTCAAAGTTGACAGCTTCAGATCTTTTTGTAAGGTGTTCCAGGTTACAGGAGCAGAGTAAGAGAAGTGCTTTTTGCAGAGTTCAGTCCGCACTGAGGGAACGCTGCAGGTAATGATGTCTTGAAAGCACATGCTGTAGCTGCACTGACGAATGACATGTGCATAACATCATCAAAATTACAAGAAATAAAGGCTTGAAATAGTTCACCTTTTGTGTAATGAATCTATGTACTGGAAGCCCTGTAAATTCAATGCTCTGCCCCCTCCCCTCCTACCGAGGAAGTCTGCGGACCTATCAGAGGGACTCGGCTGAATAAACATTGTGTCACCATTTCAGGACTCTTGGATTCTCTCTGGCGCTATCCTAGGTTTACCTCGGCACCCTTTGAGAGTGTTTATGGATCTCATCAGAGAGAAGTGACTGATTATACCATTCTTATCAGAACTCCTACAGTGCCTCTGGAGTGTCCTTGGACACGCTCATCGCTCTTGTCGTCTCCCCTCCCCTGCGGAATGTCTGCGTCTCTATGTGCCTATGTGCGGGGTGTTTTTTTATTTTCAATTTTAGGCTATCTCTTTTCGGCCAGTGAATGAGAGTCTGTTAAGGATTTTTTTTCCAAAAATCCTATACATGTGTCACTTTCATTACTTTTGTCTATCTAAACAGGTCTCAGTTGTAAATGAGTCTTCGAGGCTCCATGTGATTTATCTGTATAAATAAAGGTTGAATGAATATACTATATGAGTTTTACTTTTTGAAGTGATTGAAATAAAATATTGAACTTTTTCATGAGATTATAATTTTATTAGACACAACTGTAGACAGGGGTGAAGCCAAGTGGACTGTGATGGTGGAACTGCAGAACAGTGAAGAGGAAACACGTTTGTGTCCACAGATTGCTCAGCCATAAATGTTCATCAGAAGATGCTGTCGCCAACTGGAGACGTTTAAAAATATCAATCAAAAAACAGATACATTTCTTATGGCAAGCAACTAAGGACAATTAAAAATAAAGTGGCCAAACAGCAGATAAATGACTGGATATTAATTGCACTATATTGTGTATATAATTATAAATGATTATATGTTAGTGTTGAGATAAGGGTTATATTTATGTGGGTATGAAATGATTATAAATGATCAAGCTGTTTAAATAACAAGCCTGAATAATGTGTCTTATCTTCCCTTGGCAGGAAACACCAGGCATTATATAAAGTAATAAAAGCTTTTAGCACCATGTAACTGATGCTAAATAAGTAGACAAAAACTTAGTCTCATCTGAGCTTAGTTTTGCTTTCTTTTTGTTTGGTATTAAAATGAATGCACAGCTAAATGACACAAACATACAACTGTTTTCTGCTCATTGTTCCTTGTGTTACAAATAAGAATAAGTACGATTTAGATATGTATTAAATGAAAATGTGCAAAACCATGTTTCAACTATTAAAAAAAAAAAAAAAAAAATCTCGAAACCATCTTCATGTTTCTGTTGTACATGAGTCCCTGAGGCTCAGTGGGATTAACCTGTATAAATAAAGGTTGGATTAATTTAGCACAAGCAGTAAGAATTTTAAAACAGATCAGACTTTCTTTTTTTTTTTTTTTTCTTATCCAGGCTATATGCTTGTATTTGAAACTCTTAACATTTCTGCTTGATGGCTAAATTATATATACTCTGTAAAAAATACAACTACAAAAATGATGTTTGGTGAGCATAGGTAAAGAGTTATTAACTAACACAAATAGATTATTAGTTTGCTGATTGTTAAATTCAAGTAATATTGCCCAAAGCCTTGCATGGCAAAGTTTTAAACATAGATGTGTGGGAGTTCCTGTTTTTCCTGCTGCTCTGAAGACACTAGATGGCGCCAACTTTCCCACACCTGAAGATAATCTCCATAATGAGAGGCCAGGAGTATAAAAGGCAGTAGATGACTTCTTCTCGCTGCTGGATCATTACCTGCCTCTGGTAGTCATGCTTCTAGACCTTTTGTAGGATCCTTGAAAAAGAGTTACCTGTGTTCTTTTTGCTATTTACAGTATCTTCTCCTTAACTACGTGTGCCTACACTTCTTGTCTTGTCTATTGGTTTTTAGTTAAACATAATAAGATGCAAATGAGTCTCACCTACTGCTACACAAACTTTTCGCTCAGTATCTGTAAAACTGACAATATGACAAATCCTTTTTGTTTATTTGTAAGGATGATGAGCTGTGGCAGCCATTTAAAGCTGGGTTGGCTCCAAATGTTAATCAGTTGTACTTTGTAGAAGAACATCCAATAATTAGTTCCTAAGTGAGCTCTCAAAAATTCTCTGGTAGTTGAATGGATATTTTGCTAATAGTCAGATAGACAAATGAATGAGTAGACCCCAGCAATTACAGTACATGGTTGCTTTCCTTTTATGTTAGCAAGCAAAACAGAAAAAAAAAAAAGACTAACGTAGGAAAAAGTTTTCAAATTAATGTTTACATAAACTACTATCAGTTTTTAGTTATATATATATATATATATATATATATATAGTAGTGATTTTAAAATGGCAGCTATTTGTTTTGTTTGTCCTTTTGTTTTTTGGACAGCACACGAGACAAAAATGATAGTTGAAACAAATTATTCCAGGTTTCCTTTTATAAGGTTTAACAGTACTGTGTCTGTGGTTGGATTTTTCTGTTTGGAAACATTTTGATAGAGACGGATGATTTTTCTCTTTTTTTTTCTTGATTATTCTTATTTTTTGCATATTTGACACCATCATTTGCCAGATCTGCCTGACAAGTTTCTCATTTGCATTAAATGACTGGTCATTTACTGCACATTTTTTTTGCTTCAAACTGCCATCAGGCCATTGTTTCTTACCCAAGTAATGTTTTATTCATGGTTTTGTGGCATATTTTCTATTATAGGAGACATTGCCAACCAATTAAATATATGATAACGAGCATGATGGATCTCAGAAGGTGACCTAAGGTTGTTATATATTTACATGACATTCCAAGTAATAGTTGTACATGTAATTGTTAGCGACAGTAAATGTCTAAATTTTCTGTTTTTACGCCTCAGTATTGGTTGGTCAGTGACCTTCTTCGTGCATCTACTCCTTTAAAAATAGTAGTTTCAGAGAACTCAAAGTCAAACCAGAGAGAGAGAGTTATGCTTAAGATGAGTGCATTTGTTGGTGAACCACATCAAAGTACTGAGGGATGTCTTAGCGAGCAAAGGCAGTGAAGCTCGAGCCTTGGCTTTGATCACTCCAGGCACTCTGATCATTAAAATATTGAATAAATAATTGATTAAAAACAC